ATCATTAACTTTGGCTAATTTACTACTTCAAAACTATTTTTTTGTCCTTAAGGTATGAGAAGAAGTGGCCCTTAGGCATTGCTGAACTACTCCTCCATTCTAAGACAGAATCATTAGGAAACTAAGACTTAACTAATCAAGTTCTACAATCAACTGAGGCATAATAATCATGAAGGTAGTCCATACCTAGAATAACATCAAAGTCCACCATGTTTAGCTCAATTAAGTCAGCCATGGATTGTTTGTGATTGAAAGTGATGGTATAATCACATTAAGCTCTCTGTGCCAGAATAAACTCACAACCATGTGTGGAAATACTAAAGGGCTCAAGAGGTCGTTTGGAAGAATATCAAATCTCATAGCAATATACGGATTCACAAAAGATAAAGTTCCACCAAGATTAAGTAATGCATAAACATCAAAAGTGAAGCATTTGATCAGACCTGTGACAACATCTGATGAATTTTCCTTCTCGTAATGACTTGTTATAGCACACAGACGGTTTGCACATCCTCATGTTCTTAAAGTACCTCCTCTTATAGCAGCTCTATCGATCAAAGCCTCGCTTGAAGTACCTCATCTTGGAGCAGCTCTATCTATTAAAGCCGCTTAAGAATATTGGACTTTGGTGCCCCTATTACCCTGCTTGTTATTAGGGCACTCTCTTATGTAATGAACCACCTGACCACACTTAAATCTTCTACCAAAGACATCATAACACATTATTGGGTGATTTCCAACCATATTTAGCACAATTAAGATCCAATTAGCCTCTTATGCCACACTACCCAAACATTAAGTAGGTCTAGATCTGGAATTTTGGGAGTTTTGATTCCTGAAATCACCTCTGTTCTATGGTGCACGTGCACTAGCCAATGATGGAGTATGTCCAGGTGGCCTTTTTTTAAAAAGATGACTGATTCACATTTCCGATATTCTGTTCTCCAGACTCATGACATGCTGTCTTAGACCTCTTTCTACGGAACTCTTCCCTAATATTCACCTTGTCGTCCTTAACCTGCTACACATGGATCATAATCCTTGCTATTTCCATGTATCCTATCAACATAGTCGTCTTACATTCCTTACTTTAAAACACAAACACAAACAGACTCATCCTACTTCTCATATCCACCACCATTGTCCATGCATAAAGGGACAACAAGGTGAACTTGAGATTGTACTCTTGTACACTTATGGACTCCTACTTCAGATTCAGAAATTCCTTCACATTTGATTTTATTAGCTCATGGGAAAAGATTCTCCCTAAGAATACAGTTTAAAAAATAGACCAACTCACTAGTAGTTCCCCTTCAGCCCGCCCAGTTATTCTTCCATTGGTCGTACCAAATCCTAGTGACACCCTTGAGTTAGTATGCAACTAATTCCACACGCTTTGCATCAGTAACACACATAACCTCAAACACCTTCTGCAGCTCTTCCATGAAGTTCTTTGAATCCTTAATGACGTTTGGCCTTGTGAATTCTGGAGGATTCATCCTTAAAAACTCATGGATTCTTGATGTATCTGCCACATCTTCAGGAACCACTCTTTGTTGATCAACTTGATTGGCCACAGCTTGACTCAACATCTTGATAACATCCTGAGAATCAACATTGGTGACCTATCTCTAAAGGGGTTGCAATTCTGGTGCATTGGTACCTCTTGGTCTTGTGGATCATCATTTCTCCTTGCAAGATGACTCGAGCCATTCCTAATAGAGGCATAATCTGAAAAAACACACGCAAGCACGAACTAGAAGAGAAATTTAATATAATTGGATTATCACACAAAAGTGAGTAAGAAAGAAGTGAAATAAATGTTGTAGTCTCCTAATTATAAATGTGGCGCGCATCACACCGATAACAAGGACTCTACAGACATGGGTTCATAAAACCCCTTGAACTCTTGAACATTGTACTATGATACCAAGTTGGTCATGCCTTGAGCCTATACCCCAGACGTGGATGACACTCGAGAACCATCATTAGTTCCCAAAAAAACTTTTGGTCTGCCTCCCTACTACTTGAAAGATTTACTAAACAAAAAGTAACTTCGAATGCAAAGATTTACTCAACTTTGTTGCACCAATAAATCAACTTAATAAATGTCTGAAATGTTTCATTTATCATAGGAGATCGTCTTAAAGTTTTCAAAAAAAACATCAAGAAGGAAACAATGAAAGACTCCTTAACTACTATTGCGTATGAAACCTCTAAATACTACGCTAGATGTCGGGACAAGACCCACAACATCTTTAAAAAACTAGAATATAAACATGGAACCCTCTGAAAAGCATAAGGCTCATCAAAACTGACTACAGTGCAAATGGTATCAATGAAGAGTCTATTGATGACCCTGAACACCTACATATTCATCATAAAATGATGCATGTCAAATGACGTCAGTACATTGAATGTACAATCATGTAAGGCGAAATTTGAAAGCAATAGATAACATAACTCATAAGGCTAGAGGAATACTCAACTCAATATAATGCAATGATGATAGATGCAATGGTTAAAACATTATAAACAGGAGATAAAACTCAACAATGTATTAAAATACAATAAAATATCTTACTCTAATTTGTGATATTCTCTAACCGACAATCATCAGTATGATCTATGTGATGATACAACGTCTCTCCCACGCTGCCAGAATTGTCATATACTTTGTCGAGGTATAGAACACCTAAATTGAGTGGATCCACTTAGTCATTCTTAAAAGCAATAAGGTATCATCTAAATAGTATAATTTTTTATCCATCTTGGCTTACTTGGTTTATGAGAATATTAATTTGTGTGAACTCATCCACGTATCGGTGCTCCATACTATATATATATATATATATATATATATATATAAAACTCATTTCCAAATGTAAAAAACATAAGTCTTTCTCAATTTCAGGAAATTACTCAAAAGATCCTCTTAAGAGAGGTAATACTGAAACTTCTCTAAACTTGTAAATTCATTTCGAAATTGATGTATCTCTCTTGTAAAGGTAAAAGTATTATATACTTGGTAATACATAGCCTCCTTATACTCATTTTATAACGTGAACTCAAATATTCTCATCTTTATACTAATTTACTCAAGACTTAGTTCAAATATTTTGTTAATCAAAAAAGGTTCTAAACTATAACTCAAAATGTCCTCTTGAACTTTCCTTTTAAATTTACTTTAATTTAACGAATGTAAATTAAGGAATGTGATTAGGATATGTAGAAACTCTCAATGATTAGGGAAGACTTCAATATTGAATACCAAAGAGAGAGCATAGGTACGATTCGAGGGTACATACCAAAAGAAGGCCAGAAGAGTAAGAGAATTGGTGCATTGAGTGGCGCGGGGTGCCAACCCTTAAAATATGGAGCAGTGTTTGGTGTTCACTACTGGCTTAGTGATATAGGCCCCAAAATACTGACCAGTAGTTTGGGCACTACTGTTTGTGCGGCACCCCACCCCTATGCCCAAATATTGACAAATTTTCTTTACTCAATTTCAAGCACTTACTCCATCGAAAATTAAACGAGTTCCTCCAAGTCCTGTTTTATTCATAAACCCAACACAAAATCAATGAAAATCCACTCAAAATCTATCAAGAAACATTACTCATTCGCAAGGTCCTCACCTCAAGAAATCAAAACCTCCATTGTTGAAGAATGGGGCTACCACTCAAGAACTTCTCAAGAATCTCAATATAAACAATCTAATGGATGAATTAATGAATGAAACTACATTATTTTCATGAGAAAGAACAAACTCACTACTATGAGAAGCTTACATACCCCGAAACAAACCTTGTTCTTTGCAAAACTCTTCAATCCTAGGATGAACGCTTGAACAAACCCCTTTTTACTCTACTAGAAACTCAACCCTAAAGGTCTAAATGTTTAGGAATGTGGAAAAGCGGTATAAATCATATCAGACCCTCAACTTGGGTGTGAAACGTTTTGATTAGTGGGGTAAGGAAAACAATAATATATCCCTTCCTTAAACGGATGAAAAGCCTTTGCAAGAGAGGTTACACACAAACCGCCATAACTTCTTACTCAAATATCGAAATTTAGAAAACTTGGCGGCATTCAAAACATGATATGAAGACCTTTTATTTGATACCTCATGAGGCCACCTAACTTTTTATGTGCTAAATGTATGCTCGTTTGTAGTTGACCCAAAACTAAAAATAGATCGAAGTTTGAGGTGTTACATTGTATCCCCTATACTAGACTACTAGATGTTTTGGTACCATGACTTTCATGTATGAGCTCAAGCAAGCCGACAAACAATGGGATGCTAAATTTTACTAAATAATGTTCGCAAATGAATTCTAGATTAACGAGTGTGATAAATATGTTTACATTAATAATATTTTGAATCATGAAGTCATTGTTTTTTTTATATGTTTATAACATGTTAATAATAAGTGAATATATTGATGATATAAATGCTACTAAGTGCATGTTGTCTAGCAAGTTTGATACAAAGGACTTAGGAGATTCTGATTTGGTCTCAGGGATTAGGATTCTCAAAACTCCTCGAGTACTAGCCATTACTAGAAAATAGGACTATGGAAACAAGTCCAAATTCGTTGCAATAAGTATCCAAAAAGTTGCAATAGGCCTAATGCAACGGTTCATGAACCGTTTCATCAGCTCTCGTAGCAATAGACCTATTGAAATGGTTTTTTGCAACGGCTCATTTACAATTGCAATAGATAGACCTATTGTAACAGATTTTAAACCGCTGTCATAGTTCATTTATTGCAACGTTTATGTTTCTACTACAACAGTTCAAAACCGTTGCATATATATTATCTTTTGCAACTGCTTTCAGGCTACTGCAACACATTTTGTGATTTTAAAGTAGTTATTAAAAGCTATAGTAATGGTTATTTGAAGTTGTTGCAACAGTTCTTAGGTTCTTCATCAACAGTTTGGTGGTCTATCACAGTATTATTTCCTTAGAAAACAAAATGAAATATACTAAAATATATACAAACCACAAAGGAAATATTCAATAAGAAGATCATAGTCCAAATTATCCAACTTGTATCATCCTATATATAAAGTATAATATACAAATTTTTTGACATGTTCAATAGTAGGCATACACAACTTCGATAATAAAAGAAAATTTAAAGGTTTTCACTATTCAACCAATACGGTCTTCATTTGTTTCTTCTATACCTTCCTTTTTTCACCTACAAGATGAACAAAAATATGATCTATATCAGATTTGTTTATGTAAAAAGAACACAAATATCTACATTTGAGATTTTGCCTTTATCATGGTAAAATGACGAACTACAATTCCAAGAAGCAATTTCTTATAATCTTTTATAGCAAAATAAAAATATACAACTATCAGTTCTCCAAATTCCAATGTGGAAAAGAGACATAATATATTTTCAGCAATGTATATATATCAAAGAACATTTTTTTAATTTACTGGAAAAAGAATATCTTTAAAAACTACTCGTGACATGACAAGTATAATGTTACAAACTTCAAAAATCCTTCTTTCATTCATAACTTCTATATACTCATTCAAACTACAACACATAAATAACACTTCATTGACTCGATCTTAATTCAAATTACATTGCATAAATTGATGAAACATAAGGAAGAATAGATACTAAAATCCATGTTAGATATGTAGGAAACTGTAAAATCTCAAGCTTGTTTAGAATTATTTGGTATCAAAGAAAATTATCAACATCTAAATGACGAATTAGATACCAAAACAGAATTGCATAGAAACTTTGTATAGGTTATATTGTAAGAAGGGTTAATTTAGTGTGTTTAATTCGAATATTAATCTGATAAATTAAAGGTGGTTAGTAATAAACTCATGCGACTCTAGAAATAGAGTGATATACAAAATCATATGTGATATTATATTGGTGGGTATTACAGACCATTCATTTATCCACAATATACAGAAAATCAACCAAGTTTTTATAATCAACGTGAACTTGAGTGTAAGTTGAAACAGAGTTAGCTATCATTAGGACATCATATCCAGAAACTCAATGTCAATTGAGGAATATCTAATATACACAAGGAGCTATACAAAATAGTGAAGATTCTAAGTTTTATTGTCATTATTGAACCTAGCACAAATCTTACGCTCATGCATCTAATGGTAACTAATAAAACTATAAAATCTTTTCTTGTGTAAAGAGAATGCTACTTTCAAATCAAGTTTTTATATACCCACTGATAAGCTTGTACAGTCGGACGGGCATCACATGATGTTATGCTTAAAAGAAAACAAGACAAGTTTCTCCTTTGATACAACTTATGCGACTAGCAATCTCAGGCTTGAGAAATACGAAAGCATAGGCTAAATGTCTATCTATTACATAGTATTTATCCTAATTTTATTAGTATTTACTATTAAATCAGCTTTATTTATCATATTCCCTAGAATGCAAAGGCTAATTTTTCGAACTAATAAAAACATATAAAGTTGATATATTTGAATTGTGATTATAATATTGAATGAGTTATCTGACATTTTATTTTATAATCAAAAGTACATTTCTTAGCAAAATGGGATTTAGATGTTGTGCAATACCTTTAATGTGCAGAGAGGATCTTGTTATGAGATGTTCTTAAAGTGCAGCGACTGCAAATCATTTTGTTGTTATTAAAATCAAATGACACTTGTTTGACAAGAGGGATGAAGAATTGAAGATTTTTACACTTGTAAGGGAAACTAATTTCTCAAACTCTTTCAATGTTTCTAAATGGAAAATTAAAGTTGTACATAGTATTAACGCTGATAGAAGCAGAACAATTAGCAGACACATTCTCATTTAAATCACAAATGAAGACAATTCGTGAAGTTTGGTTATATGTTATATCAATACACTTCTAAACTTGTTATCATAAACAAATAATTTACTAATATTATGGTTGAAACTAAAGGAATCAACATCAAAATTCAAACTTTCTAGCTTGATATTGACATATTCAAAATAATTAATACTAACTTCCCTTTGAGAATCAAAGAATAAATCTTCAAATGAAAATTTGCATTATATATAACTAAGTTGCTCGGACTCGGGTGCGGGTATCCGAGACGGATGCGAATCCGAGAGTCGGATTGGGCGAAATCCAAA